CAGTACTCCAACTGTGGCCTGACTAGTGTCGCGTAGAGGGGGAGGATCACCTCCTTGGCCCTGCTTGAGATGCATCTGTGGATGCACAAGGTACGGTTGGCCCTACTGACCGTGATCTTGCATTGTTCGCCCATGTTTATCCTGGCATCACTGATGACTCCAAGATCTCTTTCTGCCATCATGCTCTCGAGAAGGGAGTTTTGCAACTTATAAGTGTGCTGCTGGTTCCTACTGCCCAAGTGCCCTGCACTTGTCAGTATTGAAACCCACCCTATTTTCATTAGCTCACCCCTGTAACCTGTCCACGTCCTGCTGTGATTCTGTCCTTCCCTACTAGCGTGCCCACCTCACCCCAAATCTTGGTACCATCAGCAAATTTAAACAGGCTGCTTTTCACCCCGTACTTCAAGTCACTAATAAAGAAATTGAACTATGTGGGCCCAGTATAGCTATTACACACCACTCTTGATTTTCTGGCTCTTTATCCATTGGTTTTTCATTACATGACAATGGTCTTCACAAGAAAGAAACCCCTAGCCTATCAATGTCTGAAGTTGGTTGATATTTACCCACTTGTTGGTTATTTGACTGTTAACTTCAGATTACAGTACTGATTTTTAGCTTTGCCAACAGCAAAATATAAAACAAAGCCTAATTTTTTAAGTTATGGGTCACAGTTGGAAGCATGCTTCCTTTACAATGAATCCTACTCCCCCAACTACTTTCAAATGGTTAAGCCAATTTCATCTGATAATTAAGATGACAAAATGAAAGACTAATGAGACAGAGAAAAATCCCAGATTTCTACAACTTTGAATCATTCCCCAGCCGAAGAAGACAAAAAGCTGTTTATGAGAGAGAGCGAGATCTATATCTATAGATATGATGCCCTCTGCTGGCTAAATACTGAGGTGATAAGTGGTCAGCCAAACTTGTTCATATTTGTGAATAAAATCAGTAAGTGAAGCCAGGAGCAAACCATCTAAACAAACTCTTTTCTTGCATGGCATATTACTTTTCATAGTTTCATAGTTTCTAGGGTCGGAAGGGACCTGAGCAGATCATCTAGTCCGATCCCCTGCCATGGCAGGAAAGAGTACTGGGGTCAAACGGCCCCAGCAAGGTGTTCATCTAACCTCCTCTTAAAAACCCCCAGGGCAGGAGCCTGCACCACCTCTCTTGGAAGTTGGTTCCAGACCCTAGCCGCCCTGACCGTGAAATATCACCTCCTGATGTCCAACTTAAACCTACCCTCTGCCAGCTTGTAACTGTTATT